AACTCTGCATTATTGCCCTGAAAAATACACTAAAAGATACATATACAACTCAAAAATACATTGCTAGAAGTAAGGGAGAAAGCTACTTAGACCAGTTTCAAAGAGAATGGGCCAAATGGCAAAACTTTTTTTGAAACACCCAAACTTGAAATTACGACTGATTTACCATAAGTAACTTATCAATTTATAAATATATTTGTTGTATTGAGTAAATGTAAATATTGATTACGCTCACACTGACAGCTAGCTTAGAAATTCAAAATGTAATACAAATTTTCAACAATCCTACCTTTCCTTTTTGATAATTGTATGGATGTTTGTATGATAATGAATGAGTGTGTGTATGTCTTTATATATGTTTGTGTTATGTCATGTTATGTATATATATTGTAACTGTATTGTGTACTAATGCAAAAATTTGAAAAAAAATAAAAAAAATCAAAAAAAAAATCGTTGAGCTGGGCATGACTGACATTCAAGGTTGCGACGTAAAAGACAGTGACCACGCTTGCAACGTCAAATCTCTATTTTATTTCATGTATGTCATGGTCATTACAAAGTGGTATAGATTTGTGAATACTGATTAAAGATTTTGTTGTAAACATATTTGTGTCACAGCTATAACCGGAAGAAAACTGTAGAGATGTTAGTCTTCAAAGTTCAAAAGTACAGAAGTATTATTTGTACCATGGTCATATGGAACCCTATTGTTTTACATTTCAGTATTTGTGTATGACTTAATAACATATTTTATTATTTCCGTTTAACTGCTCTGGAATTTCCCTTTACAATCATGCTCTAACCCTAACCCTAACTTCTGGAGTGAAGCCAGAAATAAGCAGTTAAAATTAATATACATATGTTACCCGCCGGTATCAATCTTAAAAGTAACGTTAGAAATTATGACGTTGCAAGCGACGTCAGAAGTCATATAGCATACTTCTATGTATGACGGCGTCAAATCATCAAATATTGACGGACTGACATATCATTGTGATCAGAAATGTCTCTAGATTTCGAAATCATAAAAATAAAAATAAATGATTTTTTACTGGACCCTAATCCCAGCCGGCGTCTCATTAAAAAGATAATCAAAATGGGATTTGTTATTTCTGATATCAGCTTAATCATAGAAGTGTATCCAGCACCTGTGTATTGATTAGTGCAGGACAATGTGCATAAATCATTACCACAAGCACGGAATTAGTTATCTAAGTCCGTGCCACAAGCTAACCATCTCCAGATCTAGACACGTATATATACTACTGGCTTTATGTCTCTGCCATTTCCGCCCGTGGCTTTAAAATTGTTGACGTATGATATCTTCCGGTTCCGGGTTGATGATGACAACAGGCAAGGGTTAACATTCAAGGATTTGTCCGTGTCCTTCTGCTCAGGAGGGAACAGAGATACGCAAAGGTTTGTATGTTTAATGTATAGTTGACAGAGAACCACACTAAAAGCGCCTTTGTTACATTGTGTGACTGAAAGATAGTATTTTAACTGAAACACGTTAGAAGTTACGTTTAAAATAATAACAATTGCCGTTTATTCTGTCAATAATGAATAATAATAGTAATCGAAAAATACCCCAGTAATATGCTTAATTTTTTTAAGCATATTAGGGGTATTTTTTGTATTACTATTATTATTCATTATTGATAGAACTTCAGGCTCCTATGTTTACACATGAATCTTCGCGTATACACGTGTGTGGTTACGAAATGGGCATCGGGCCAAGCATGGTTGTCTGTTTCAGCCGATTTGACACATGTCAGACTTTTTGTGGCAGGGAATACATATTCCACTGTTTAGGCCATTGTACTGTACACATATTAATTCGCAGTCAGACGCTTGTACTGGACACATGTAAAGTTGAATGAAAAGTCAAGGTCGACGCAGATTTCTTGTTTACCGGTTTATTCCCACAATATGTGGAACATAATCAAAAAACCCTACAGAGACACAATACAATTGATTACATAATGAAACACAGCACTCACATTTATAATTCCTAACAAGTACATTCGGTGCATACATATTTGATCCGTTAACACACAATAGGTTATTCAAAAATAGGAATAACTTTACAATGACTGACTTCATCATAATCAATAGTTGAAATTACTTACACAAATTACTTATACATAATTATATTGAATACAATTATCCTCATCAATTATTGCTTGTTTACATTATCACATACATTATTAAAATACCTACCCCAACTATGGGTCGGGGGTTTACACGAATGAAGATCTGTATCCGCGCGTTCTCAATCGAAAACTATCATCTCTGTAAAAGAGACATGTAAATCACAATTTACGTCATGTTGATAAAAACATATATTCATTACTTTAAAAAGAGCTATCTATGTATCGGTTAATTATACATGACGTAAGATAAAGATTCTGTTAATTTTATAAAAAGTACAATTTCACGATATATAATTAATGCTACTTTATCCAAAATCTCATTAATATAATAATTTAACATAAACCAATTACAGAAGAAGACTTTGTCACATCTATATGTGTACATACCAGATCTAGAGAAAGACTTCAAGACTCAAACCTCTGGATATAAATTACATCCACCCTTTAGCTCTGTCTATGAATGAGTACTAAAAACCGCGCCAAAACATGTAACAAAGACAACTGGACTGACCACTAACGAAAACGAGGTAACACCTATATTTAGAACAATTACCTTATATGGACGTAACAAGGTAAGACAAGTGACATGTGACAACATACTCACGTGTACAAAAACAACACAGGTAAACGGCACAGTGATCGTACACAGAACATGTATACGCGAACAGCACGATATACGCAGCGCAACAATTAATTTAATTTAAAAACATTTTATCACAGCCTTTATTAAAACATCAATATTTTCACATTGTTACACACACAAAACATATAATTATACTGTACTGTATACCTATAACGTTACATGCATATAATTTGAGGAGAGAGAGAGGCTTAACGTAAGCGCAGGCAAATTTGTCACATTAGGAATGGTTTCAGTTTATAACTCGTCCAAATACGCATCTATCAAAATGCCGATGAGCACAGTACAGAAGAAAATTTGATTGAAATTTCTATAAGTAAACATTGTTGTAAAACCGACTGAATGACGTCACGCAGCAATACTTGTGACGTCATCAGGCCTTATGTAGTTTTGCTCAAATGTGCAGGCAGTTTAGCCACCTTCAAACATTTCACTAATTTGCAAGTAATGTAGGTGTTTTACACAAGTCCTACTGATACAAACCGCTCCAAATGTGTGTGTGTAACAATGATTAACATTGAAATAATGTCTTTTCTTAGTTGTGATAGTTTATTTTCGGTAACTTGAAGAAACTGATTAATGCTGTTTGAGTAAGATGGCTGGGATCAGCTGAGATGAGGTCAATTTAAGGGCATCGCAATTAAAGACTCAGTCCTGAACCAAAATAAACTTCCAAATCGGTGTCCAAAATCATATTTTTCATCGGGTGCGGATGAGAAAGTCCAGGGCTTTCAACGCTCATTTTTCCCAAATGATTTTTCGATAATTTGTCAAATGTACGTCTCAGATTGTGTTGCATGTCAACGGAAAACATCTGACAAATTGAAATGATTTTTTGGGCTTGAAAACTTCAACAGGGACTGTCTCGGGTGTTATAAATGTACCTACTTTTCATGTAAAATCAGCCTTTGGTAACAACGCTAGTTAGTTGTCGGTCTCTACATACAATCATCATGGGATTGTACAGAAGTACTTTCAGGCCGACAACAAATTATTTTCAAATATAAATCTCGAACATTTCTTGATGCTATTTTAATTAGAGTGTTGTAAGATGGCTGAATGTTAGACGCAAACTATACTTTTTAAAAGGTTTTCTAAATACAAATTGCATGAAAAAATGAATTATCAAATCTTTCTGGGCTTTATTTCCATAAACATGCATTGGGTCGTCAGTACATTGTATGTACCAATTAAAGTACACTTGTAGAAAAACAATTTACTTGCATGGACAGCTCAGTCGACCAGAAAACTGCAATTATAGCATTGAGATATGGGTATTTTTTCAATTTGTATGTACCTGGTAATGCATTTACACTAAATAACAACCAATAGGGCTCAGATCTAGGAGTTGAGTTGACGAGATGTCCATCCCACAGACCAAATATTTGAATTTGTTGTGTTACGAGATATTTCATAACTGTTTTAATTATAGTATAACTTTTCCATTCTTATACCTCTAATTGTCGAAAAGTTTGAAGCCTTTAACTGTGTTGAAGACTGTGGTGACATTATTTACTTCACATCTTATGTATTGTGACGTCATATGGCATTTTCGTCACAGGGTGTCGAATTTGGGTGCATGGCAACTATGCCTGCACTAACGTTACACTTTTTTCCTAGTCTTTGTCCCCCAGGATCCGTTTTCGGGTATCTCCTTGCTAGGCATACACCCAGTACATGTCCAGCATTGTCTCAGAACTGGATTGTAAGGAACCCTGGATCTGAAATATCTAACCAGATGATCTAGCACGAGTTAAAATTCCTCTGACCCTGATATCAGACTAAAAAAATATTGACAGAAGTGTTGGATCTATCTGTCAAAATGTATAAGTCTGGTATCGGGGCCAGAGGAAATTCAGGCTACCTGGTTTTCAGTAATTGCCCTGTGAGTCTAGTTCTGCTACCTTTGAATAACACTTATAGTCTTATATATTAAGTCACTAATGGGTTATCTGGTTATGCAAATGTCAGTCATTGTCAAGGCCTAGGGTTGGTGGTTTAATTTTCTACCCTAGTCAACCTGGACTTCATGTAGGTAAAACTGGTCGAGGCATATACACAAATGATTAATCTAAACAACAGAATTATATATGGATGTTATTATTTTCAATTTCTTATTTTTTTCTCCTCTGAACAGACAATTTGACTGAAAGCATAATAACTCTTAAAAAATATAGAAAGCAGGGTCAAACATTTTGTGTTCGTAAAAACTTGTGCAAGTCTGGAGATGAAAAATGCTTAGTCAGACGTTGTCAGGTGATTTGAACCTGGAACCCTCTAAACCTTAGACGAACACTCTACCAGTTTACTACATTCCTCCATTTGTCTTCATTCAAGTCTTTGTCCCTGAAGACAACCCTATTTACAACCCAGGTTTTGGTATCCCGTTGTCAAGCATTTATCTAGTACTTGAAACAATGGTTCTTTATAGGTACCAAATAACTGGAGAGCGAGAAGTGCACGGCCAGACCGATATTCGAAACTTGGACCCTCCAAACTCCAGAGGCTCAGCCTGTTGAGCTGGCAATCGACGCAGTGCAGCACTGCTACATACTTGCCAACTTTTGTAGAGGAGATTCACAAGCCGAAAATTTAAATATAATGAAACAGTTTATGACCCCAAAGAGAAAAAATTAAACTTGAAAATAGCCCCTTTGAGTTCTTCTTTTAAATGAAATAAACATGAATGTAGTTAAACAAATTCACTGAAAATGTCCAACTTTAAATTTATGGTCCAAAATCCGGATTCTCCGTCCAAAATAGTAAGAGCTGGCAAGTAGCGGCTATATACCTATGTTATTGTCAATAGTAAATATGACCATTAACAAGTATTATATGGTTAGTCAATACAGCTAATGTTTAATTTCATGTTTAATTTTCTATATATCACAACAAAAGTCCATTTAAAATTTTCTTAAAGAAAATTGATATATTTTGTCAAAATATTCTATTAAAACTTGCACAAAATTTAATCACATTAATTGTAATCTTTCCTAAGAAAGATTTGAACAAAAAAACGGTAGGAATGTGTTCCTTACTCGACCGACTAAAATGCATTATTCTACCTCTTTAACCCATCTATAGCGTAACCATATGTCACAGTCTACATCAAAAGATACAATACATATCATCAAATACATTTCAGACCACACTGACACCCATCTGCTTCACAATGAATAAAACTGTCGGGTAACAATGATTTTTTGTATTCCTTTTCATTTGGTTCCTGTGGAGTTAATTTCAGTTATGTAAAGATTCCATTTGAAATACATTCAACAAGATGGTGTCTCATGTAAGCAATATTACTGGGTAATATCATTCCTGTGAAACCAATTGAAAACAAAATTCTACCAAGTCAGCAACAGCTAATACATGAACCTGGCAACCAACTCCATTTTTCTGTTGTTGCTCCTTTGATACAGATCATTTGCAGGCGATTACAAATTTTAAAAGTGACCGTTTTACTAGGCGAGGTTTTACTAGGCGAGGTTTACTAGGCGAGGTTTTACTAGGCGAGCTCGTAATAATTTGTATTTATAATTGCAGTGGGTTACCATGGCGACTGTTCAGTTAGTATTTATTGCTGTGGTTTTCCTTGTCGCCACTCAAACTGGTAGAGCGGCAGAATGTGAGACAAACATTTCCAGTATTTTGTCGGAGCTGGAGAATGAAGCACAGAGTAAACAAGGCAGTATGACAGCAAGTGATGTTTATCAGGCGGTGTACGAGTGGGTCCCTCTCAGTCATCGTAACGTCACAGAGCAGTGTCTACACCAGGGGTTCAATAAAACGCAATGTTTACTTAACAAGGTAGGTCTATACCGAAATTTGTGGTTTTTGAAATGATAATAAATTAAATTTGTTTTGCAACCATCATGATTTTTTTTCTATAAGATTGTTGATGTGAATGACCTTGACACACTTTTAAGGTCATATCTGGTCCAATGTTAATAAACTTTTAAAAGACCTCATCTCAATAAACAAAAGGTCTAGCGTGGGGATATATTTGGCAAGTAGTATAATGGGATATATATATATAAAGAGCTATAAAGTTTGCTCAACTTAATGTCCTTGGTTGACTTTCAAGCCAGGTCACAAACGAAAGCACGCATACACAACACACATGGAGGCACATCCTTAAATGACATTAGCTGTTAATAAGACGTTAAACAAAATTAAACCAAACCACAGGGTCAAATGTGTAAAAAAACTTTTAATAAGTTCTTTTAAATAACTTGCAGTCATAGATACTCATATATTGCCTTATTTACCTGGTAGCTTTATTTTAGTCCACTTTTAAGGTTACAATTGTGAGATTAATACAAGGTGATGGATGAGCAATTAATGCCTATTGGGCCACTATTAATGTTTGTTTGTAATTTATTTTTTGTACACTATTTGTCAAATAATGATAACAGTTTTAGATACAGATAGGTTTTCAATAACTTAATGTTTATTTGAATCAGTGCCTGACTTTTCAAGAAATCCTCCGTCTATATGATCTGAATGACACCTCTGCACTCTCAAAAGATGATATACAGGAGTTGTCTCCCTTACTTTCCCTCATTGCAAAAGCCAAATCTTGTGATAGTCACAATAAGTCTGTTGATGATGAAAGGAAGGAGGAAGGAAAGCACAAAGCCAAATCATCAATGGTGAAAGGTAGGTCATTGCAAATGTTTTCGGCTAATATTGTAGGACATTTTCTAGAATATTACAGGGAAAATCCCGGAATTTGAGAGAATTGGGCCATTTCAGCAATTTTTAGTCATTAACAAAATCAAGAGGTCTAAGTAAATTTTTAGGTCACCTATTCTGATTGCTTTCTGTCCGTCGTTGTGAGTAAACTTTTTACATTTTCGACTTCTCAAGAACCAGTGGATAGAATTTTTTCAAACTTGGTCAGAATCATCCTTGGTAGATAAAGCTACAAAATTATAAAATTGGGATACCTACCCCAACCCCAGGTGCAAGGGCGGGCCCCAAAGGGAAAAATTAACCAATATTTCAAAAATCGTCTTCACCAGACTCAGAGGTACTACAATCAATTTCTCTGCATGGATGGAAAGATCATCAGAGGCTTTATTTAAATCTTAAATTTCAGTACTCCTGGGCCTTCTGTTCTCCCTAAGGGAGGGGGTAAAGTTTACTATAGTTTATATTGGGAAATAAAACTTTTGGGTATATTTTGTTCATTTTCCATAGGAATTTATTCTTACTTGGTGAGAATCAAGAGGTACTACAGTCAATTTCTCTGCATGGATGGAAAGATCATCAGTGGCTTTGTTTGAATTGTAAATTTCAGTACCCCAGGGCCGTCCATTCTCCTTTGGGAAGGGGGTAAAATTTACCATAGTTTATATAGGGAAATAACACTTTTGGGTATATTTTGTCAATTTTCAGTAGGAAATTAATCTTACTTGGTGAGAATCATTTTTGGAGGAAGATGGTATCAAATTGTAAAATTGGGATTCCTGCCCCAACCCCAGGGGCCAGGGCGGGGCCCCAAAAGGAAAATTAACCAATATTTCAAAAATCTTCTTCTCCAGACTCGGAGGTACTACATGTACAGTCAATTATTCTGCATGCATGAAAAAAATTTCAGTGTCTTTGTTTAAAGTGTAAATTTCAGAACCCCAGGGCCGTCCATTCTCCTTTAGGATGGTGGTAAAATTTACCATAGTTTATATCGGGAAATAGCACTTTTGGGTATTTTTTGTCAATTTTCAGTAGGAAATTAATCTTACTTGGTGAGAATCATTCTTGGAGAAAGATGGTTTCAAATTGTAAAATTCGGATACCTGCCCCAACCCCAGGGGCCAGGGCGGGGCCCCAAAGGGAAAATTAACCAATATTTTAAAAATCTTCTTCTTCAGACTCAGATGCAGTACAATCAAATTCTGTGCATGGATGAAAATTCTGTCAGGGACTTTATCTCTTTTTCATTTTTATTACCACCGGGCCATCCCTTCTCCTTTGGGGAGGGGGTAAAGTTGACTTAAGTTTATATATGGAAATAACACTTTTGGGTATACATGTATATATCTTTTGTCCATTTTCAGCAGGAAATTATTCAAACTTGTTGTTTGGAATGATTATGATGCCAGATGGCAATTAGTTGGAATGAGAAAATAAGATCCTGCCCCAACCCCAGAGGATGAAGGGGTGGGGCCCAAACAGGGATTATGGTTAAAAGTTAAAAAAATCTTCTTCATCAGACGCAGATGTTTACAGTTCATTGATAGAAAGGTCTTTACCTAAATTACCATTATCTTATATATAAATTAATTGTAAATTTCACTATCCCCCCAGGTCATCTGCTCTCCCTTGGGGAGAGGGTACTCATCTCAACAGCAAAATAATTTATTTGAATAATTTTTATACGCCCGTCAAATTTGACGGGAGTAAATTATGGTATGGCGTTGTCCGTCCGTCCGGCGTAAACTTTTGTTTGTCCGGCAATCTCCTCCTTCATTTTTTGACCGATCTCTTTGAAACTTGGTATACATTATAATCATGATATGAAGTTGTGTCTCCCTTAAAAAGAATTTTGATTCGACAATTTTTACAAAAGTTATTGCCCTTTGTTCATTTCAGTATTTGATTTTTTGTCCGGAAATCTCCTCCTACATTTTTCAAAGGATCTCTTTGAAACTTAGTAGGATCAATAATCATGATATGTTGTTGTGTTTCCTTGAAAAGAATTTTGATTCAACAATTTTTACAAAAGTTATCGCATTTTGTTCATTTCAGTATTTGATTTTTTGTCCGGAGATCTCCATCTACATTTTTTGACAGATTTATTTGCAACTTAGTAGGCTAAATAATCATGATATGTTGTTGTATTTCCTCGAAAAGAATTTTGATTCCACGTTTTTTGCAAAAGTTATTGCCCTTTGTTCATTTCAGTATTTCATTTTCTTATCCAGAGATTTTCTCCTACATTTTTATAGCATGTCAGCTAACCACTCTTTGAATAATGCAGATCTTATTTCAATGTTAGAAAGTATATAACACTACATGGCATTCGATGTGTTGTATCTTTGAGCAAGATACTTTACTTCGCTTGTTCCAGTCTGCTCAGCTGTACGTGGTTGGGCAGTGCTAGAATTGTTGAATGCTAGCTGTTAGCACCGAAATGGCAGCTCCGGCTGTATGCTCCCCAGGGAGTTGAGAAAGACATTGGCTGGTTGCAAAGGCCTTATAACCACGGATAATAATTTGTGAACCGCTTTGAGACGACCGGTATATAAGAACCTCAGATTTTTATTATTATTAGTATTATAAGTCACTGGTGTGGGCTTGAAACCCTGTCATCTAGCCTGTTACACATCAGATTATTCAGGGCTAGAAATTGTTAAATAATTTCAAATTTTGACTAGTCGATGGGCTAGCAGTTTTAAGAACCTCTAGTCCAGCTGGACGTTTCACTAGTTTCAGACTATCTGACTATCATTATTGTCTAGCCCTATAGTTCCACCCACTGGAAACCGGGTAATGTCCGCTGCAGACTAATTTTTGCCTTTGTCGCCAGTCGTAGTGAGGACAAGTTAAATATGGATTATTTGGTGAAGGGCCAAAGTTTGAAGGGCGAAAATGTCCCGGAATACAGTATTTAAATACATTATATACAATTATGAGCCAACTAAATTGAATGAATTGTATCCAGGAAGAAATGTATTGATAAAATTTGCTCTACTTTGCATTGGTAGATTATGTTTTTCTAATTAACTAGAACATTAAGCCTTTGTTTAATGTACCTGCTCATAGATATTAAGATGTTATGGCCATGGACCGGCAGTGCTTGTAAAGACATGTTCACAGTCTGGTTCTTTTTGTACAGCCTGGGGATATGGATTTTTGTTTGTGACGATCATCAACATTTGTTCCTTGGCTGGAGCTATGGTCCTGCCCTTTATGAAGAGGGCTGTGTATAGGCAGCTTCTTATCTTCATGATCGGTCTCGCCGTGGGTACACTGGCTGCAAATGGACTCCTTGTGCTCATACCAGAGGTAGGTCTTAACACATACTGTATACAGGAAATTGTTCGATGCACTTTAATTTTTCGCCATTTTCACCCATGCGGCACTTCGTAATAAGGGGCGAATTGATCATTACAGCCAATATAACTTATAATTAAACGACATAACATACCTTATAATTGAATGTGAAAGCCGAAATTGATACTGGTGGAAAATTCATTTTATGGGTGCAGGGCAAAAGTTTGATTGGGCGAAAATTTCCCCATTTACATATTTAGTATATACGTCAGCCAGAGAATCTGAATCTTTGTGCTCATATATAATCAAGAACTCAAATATATTTGCCCAAAGAATTCCTGCGGTTTATATTGATTTTGTAAAATTCAAAGGAACTCTTTTGCTTGTGTCCTTATCTACTGTGTAAAATATTTCTGGTATTTTTGAAATTGTGATTCTAAAACATATTATCAATAGATTGTTGATATTTCACATTCAATGCTTATATTTAATTGTGTTGTCTGTTATATGGATTATATGGTAATAAGTAACTGGATATAATTATATATTTTTGAATGCAGGCCCTAGGACTTATGTACATAGAAGATCATGCAATCAGCTCAAACTACGTATGGAAAACAACAACAGTCATGGGCGGCATCTATCTCTTCTTTCTCATCGAACGTGTCCTCAAACTGCTGCTCAGCTGGAGAGAGGTGTGTACATACACTACATTATAATTAATTGTATACTGCATTGTATTAAATATATACTACATTGTATTAAATATATACTACATTGTATTAATTGTATACTACATTGTATTAAATATATACTACATTGTATTAAATATATACTACAATGTATTATATATATACTACATTGTATTAAATATATACTACATTGTATTAGATATATATACTACATTGTATTAAATATACACTACATTGTATTAAATATACACTACATTGTATTAAATATGTACTACATTGTATTAAATATACACTACATTGTATTAAATATATACTACATTGTATTTAACGGTCTCCTTAAACACCATGTTAGCTTGCCTACAACTATAAACAATAGATAATACATGTATTACCTTAATGAGAGTAATGAAATGTTTGTCAGTTGGCATTCATAGTAATATGAACTTCAGATTTTCTTTTCGAACTTCATAGATTTGTGTATTGTGTTTGGATGTAAAGACAGTGTTGTAAAATAATCAGAACATTACATGAAAGGCCAAGGTCATGAATATGGGTCTTAGAGAGTGGTTTACCCTAGTTTAATTACTAACTGTTGTTATGTCCTGCTATTTTAAAGTTAACCATGTCTGTCCTGTCCCTTTGCCATTCACTATCATAACTCAACTGACTTCATTTATCTTCAGATTTTCTAGCTTGTAAAAGTTAAGTATGAAATACCTTGAATGAGTTCATATTTCAGGGTCCGAAGGTCAATGCCAAGGTCACTGTTGCTATTTATAGATCGACCAGATTGATATCACTGTTACTATTGATAAAAAATTGTCATTGAAGCTGATTTCACAGGGTTTTAGGGGCATTCATGTCTTGTAGACATTTTCTTTTGCGAGAATTTTTAGATTTATGTTTTACATTTCTAGTGACTTCACTTAAATTTTTGATGTAATATTTTATCTTAATATCGTTTTTTACTAATAAATAAATGTTCTGATCAATTCAGAGAAGGAGGGATGGTGGTTACCAGTCTGATGGTGCTGACGAGGATGAAGATATGTACTCCTCCATCAAGAAGAAAACCCCTATCACTACAACGCAAAAATACAAAAATCCTAAGAACCTTCCCGGTGCTCTGCCATTGTCAAACAGTGAGACACCACTCACCGATGACGACTCGCAAGACAATGTCCTGTCCACGATTAATGTAGAGGTACTGTGTCTTGATTCTGTGTTTTTGTCTCTAACCATACAATCTCATGTTAATTTATTTACTTATAAAAAGATTTCATATGGACCTGTTGCTGGTTGCTAGGAGGTGCAGAATGCTGGTTATCACATTGCTTGGCATACAAATCTTATTGCATGATTCACACTTTTATACTATGATACATTATTATACATGTTTGGATCAAAGAGATATTTAAATGAAAATAGAATATCTTCCTGCCTGTTCCGGAAGTAAATTATTGAGAAACAAATCAGTTTATGTAGTGGCGATCATTTATTTTGTATTGGCCACTGTTTACATGGCAGCTGTACTGTGTTTGTATTGGGCACTGTTTACATGGCAGCTGTACTGTTTTTGTATTTGCCACTGTTTACATGGCAGCTGTACTGTTTTTGTATTGGGCACTGTTTACATGGCAGCTGTACTGTTTTTGTATTGGCAACTGTTTTCATGGCAGCTGTACTGTTTTTGTATTGGCAACTGTTTTCATGGCAGCTGTACTGTTTTTGTATTGGCAACTGTTTTCATGGCAGCTGTACTGTTTTTGTATTGGCAACTGTTTTCATGGCAGCTGTACTGTTTTTGTATTGGCAACTGTTTTCATGGCAGCTGTACTGTTTTTGTATTGGCCACTGGTTACATCGCAGCTGTACTGTTTTTGTATTTGCCACTGTTTACATGGCAGCTGTACTGTTTTTGTATTTGCCACTGTTTACATGGCAGCTGTACTGTTTTTGTATTGGCCACTGTTTACATGGCAGCTGTACTGTTTTTGTAGTAGGCAATAGTTTCTTTTGGCTCATAAATATTACTACTGCGTCATTTATGTAGTAGACAAAAAACCCACAAAAATAATCACACAATGTTGCAATAATACTTTACAAATGAGAAAATGTTTATAATCAGGAATTCTCCTGAAACTGAGAAGGTGAACTATAACATACTGTGAAATCACTAGTTTTTGTAGTGTTTTTAATTTCATTGATTTCCTAGGTATTCTTCATCCACAAATTCATAGGTCCACAAAGTTATTAGAAGTTTGACATAAAGCAATTCTCCGTTTGAGAAGGTACTCTTAATCCATCAATTCATCTACCCAAGAAATTGTGTTTTGTTGAGAAACCACAAAATTTGGGCCCCACGAAAATCTCTTGATTTCACAGTTTATGTGTACTTTGGTTGTTGGGTATTTTTCCCTACTTTACTATCATTTGATCTTGATTATTATATAAACATGATCTGTTCCAATGTCCCGTCTTGTTTGACTTACTATGACATGATGTTAAAACTAAGAGGCTGATGAACCGGTTTGATACAGGTTAAACCCCAGAACGGCAGTACAGCGGCCCATGCGAAACGTCCAATAGCCACCGTAGCCTGGATGATTATATTCGGGGACGGGATACATAATTTTATTGACGGTTTGTCCATCGGAGCAGCATTTACCGACAGCACTCTGGCAGGCATCAGTATATCTCTAGGGATCATCTGTGAGGAACTTCCACATGAGTTAGGTAATTACCATATGTATTCAGCAATAAGCCCATGCCTGATAGTATCTATTGTAGTTCAGTAGAAATAACACTATTTTATTGTCCTGTAATAACCCTTTCAACCCTATATAACTTAAGTAGACTATACCATGCATTGATGGAATGATCTGGATGAATCCATTATATATGGTCTACAGTGGTGAAAGGGATAAGCTAACCCTCTACTTTGTGTCAGAGATTAGGTTCTGGCCTGCTAGGCTTATTGGAGAAAAAGTAATGTATCTGTTTCAAAGTAATTGCTTTTAGCAGGACAATGAAAAATTCACTGTGTCTACCTGTTTTATTCTTTAGAAATGAACAGATGATATAGCATATTAGATTGATATCTCAAAATTTCAGTATTTTATTATATTCTCCATACTATAATTTGTGAGAGATAGTTTTGCAACAGAAGTATTCTATGATGCACCACCTTAAAATACCTGGAGACTGTGTGCAGCATATATGTGATTGGTAACGATACTGGTATATTAGGAAAACGATACCTTTTCCTGATTAAGAATTTATAATTGCCAGGTTGGCTTTGAAACCTATTCTTTTTGAATGGCTTGGGGCCTCTGAAGTAGGAACATTTTTGATTTCTTATTTTTTGTCATGTTTTGTCTAGATAATTTTGAAGCTAAACTGCACTTACTGGTATTAAAGAAACATCATTGTACTATAGATGTTGAATTTAACCTCTGTAACAACTGGTATAACATCCATTCCATTTGCATAGGCAGGGTTTGTGCAGGCCATGAAAAGACCCCAAAACAAAAGGTTAGCCTTGAAAAACCCTGAGATTGATGAAAAGGCCCCAAAAGACCCTAAATTAAACAAAAATGTCTGGAAAGGGTCAAAATGAGCCTTAAGTTTGTCTAGATGATCATTGAAATATGATTGGATGTTAATTGTGGTGGTTTTGTGGTGTTATTCTCAAAAAAATGAACTCGGAAAATACAATAAAATAAAATATTTGTTATGAGTTAATTTCTAGATTTTCGGACTACTGAACTGTGTTAGATTTTATGGTTGTTTGGTTTTAAATATTGTAAGTTAAGAGACATCCTGATGACTTATCCAAATATCTATACTTTGAAAATTTGTAAATGGCGGGAGATTTTAAGCTCTTAAGAGACCCTAAAAAAGCCTTGAATTTCATAGATTTTTTTTTGTACGAACCCTGATAGGGCTTAAGTTTGACTCGCTAACCCTGATAGGGCTTAAGTTTGGCTCGCTATACATGTATGTAGCAGACTGGGCCAAAGATTTGCTTTCTACCCGAGTTTGATCTCTTACAGGGGACTTTGCTATTTTGATCAACGCGGGAATGAGTATGAAGAAGGCACTGATGTACAACTTCCTGTCTGCATGTATGTGTTACCTCGGCCTCATAGTTGGCACGCTGTTGGGAGAAAACACAACGGCACATGACTGGATCTTTGCCATAGCCGGAGGGATGTTTCTCTACATCTCACTTGTTGACATGGTAAGTAAAAGCTGTAATCACAACAATTTCTTTTTTATTAGAGCCCCGCGTCACAGATGTGGTTGCCCTATATATAGTGTCCGTCTGTCTATCCATCTGTTGATCAGCACTTTCGTTTCCTGGCATGATCCCAGAATCCAAAAGACTTATATTGAAATTTGACATAGTTATACACTGTGATATGTTAATGTGCATTAAGGGTTTAAAAGCTTCAAAGGTCAAGTTTAAGGTCACCATTGCTAAAAATAGATGGGGGGGGGGGGGGATATCTTTATTTCAAAATCAGAAAGACTAATCTTTGACATGGTGATTTGCGATTTACTGTGACAGGTAAATATGCAATAGGGATTTTGAAAGTTTCTAAGGTAAAGCTTAAAGCTGACGGTGCAAGTTAAAAAGCTTTCAATTGAGATTTTTAGGTTACCTGAGACAAAGTCTCAAGTGACCTATTGCGATCGTCGTCGTCCGTCGTGCGTCCGTAAACAATTTACATTTTCGACTTCTTCTCCAAAACCGCTGAACCAATTTCAATAAAATTTTGCAGGGACCTTCCATTGACACAGGTCAACAAAAATTCTGGCCGGTTTAGTCCAAAGCCCCAAGGGGCCTGAGGGGCGGGGCCAAAAAGGGTCAAATTGACTAAAATTTCAAAAATCTTCTTCTCCAAAACCCCTGAACCAATTTCAATGAAATTTTGCAGGGACCTTCCATGGACTAAGGTAAACAAAAATAGTGGCCGGTTCAGTCCCAAGCCCCCAGGGGCCTGAGGGGCGGGGCCAAAAGGGGTCAAATTGACTAAAATTTCAAAAATCTTCTTCTCAAGACCCAGATATGGTAGAATCAAATACTCTTCATAGATGGAAGGGTCTTAAGGTGCTTTACGAAAATTGTTAATTTCTTGACTCTGGGGTCTCACGTTTCCCCCTGGGGAGGGGGTAAACTTTACTATAGTTTATATAGGGAAATCACATTTTGGACTAACATTTGTTTAACTTCCATTGGAAGTAATTCAATTTCGGTTAGCATTATCAGTATTAGGTAGCAGTTTGATAATAAGCACATATGAGCCCTGCCTGACCCCAGGGGCTGATGGGTGGGGCCAAAAACGGTCGAATTTACTGAAATTTCAAAAATCTTCTTCTCAAGACCCAGATATGGTAGAATCAAATACTCTTCATAGATGGAAGGGTCTTAAGGTTTATGACCCTAGGGTCTCACGTTTACCCCCTGGGGAAGGAGGGGGGG